GACTGTAAAGTCTTGGGACTGCAGTTTCTCTCAGGTAGCACAAGGATCTGAAAACAATTAAAAAATAAAAAATGAAAATGAGTGTAATTCAAACTGTCGCAATCCTTAGAAGATTTTTTTTCTCCAGCATAACTGTGAGTGATCCAAGCATAATCCTCTGTGGTTCAGATTAAAGTCATGCAAATTATTCTAACCACATGTACGCTCATATAGCATGCTTCTCTGCACTTCAGTGGTCTGTAGGCTTAAATATAGGACAAAGGAATCCCTGGTACCTAGATTTGCAAAACCCTATGCTATTCTTAGCACTTGGTACATCTCTGAAGAGCACTATACCTAATGGTTAACACACCCAAAAATCAGCCAAGGGGACAAAACTCTGTCATCCTATGCTTATTGTCAAGGTGGTCCATTGTTCCCAGGCATACGACAAAGTGTGTTTTTTTTTTTTGCAATCAAGAAACAAGTATGACACTGTTAGGCTTTCACAACGTAATGGCCCAGAGAGTAGGTATTTTTGGAAATGGCACTGCATTACATAACCTCCACTTTTGTCTCTCCCTCTATTCCACACACAAATGCACACACCTATTTTAAATAGTGAAGAAAAAAGAGTATGTCCTACCTCTTTCAAATGGTTCTTTAAATTACTGCTCTCTTAATTGAGTGAAAGTAGCACACCTCCTTTACCAGTTTTCATACAGTGACAAAAATTAAAGCTCTCTTCTATTGATTATGTATTTCTTACCTATAGTGTGTATGCATGAAATGCAATTAGGTATGAGTCATATGTTGGCACACAAACACATACATACATACTGGACATAAAACTGCAAACTCATATACCTATAAATGGACATAGAAACGTTTGAAAGAAAGCACATCATGAAATGCACACCAAAATACGTTTGTTTTTGTTTTGTGTTTTTTTTTTCCCTCTCTCTAAAGAACCACCCAAAATTTAACTGCTGCACATGCAAAAATGCAGAAGGCTGTTGCAAGAATGACTGCTTTCTAAAAATAAACCCCAGCAGCCTGAGAGGAATCCAGTGTCAGGGCGGAGAAGAGGGAGATTCGTTTTACAAGGGAGCAGAAAAGAGACGAAAAACCAATCCTAGAGCCTTGCATGCATGCTAAAAATTTTAAGTGCATTAGGTTTAAAAATGCATTTTGGTGGTTTTGGAGTGCAAAAACGAAAACGAAAAAAAAAAAAGAAAACAGCTTTATAAAAACGCTCCTCATCTCCCCTTGCATGTGTGCACAAAAATCCCCAGCCTAGAAATCCAGCCTTAAAGCATAAAGACAAAGAGTTAAATATATATAACTGCACGTTTTCTCATCTTCTTTTAAAAAAAAAAAAAAAAAAAAAGCCTGTTTGGAAACGTGCACCGAGAGGGGGGAAGGCAAGCTGCAGCAAAGTCCAGCTAAGGGCAAAAGGAAATGAAAAGAAACAAAGAAAGAGAGAGAGAATTAATTAAAAAAAAAAAATCAAATAAAATTCTGTGGATTGGAATTGCATATACTTACAGACAAAAGCCCCCGCTCCCTGCTCACTTTCTGTCCTTTCTACATGATCTGAAACACAAATGTGGATTAAAAAAGGGCAGCATGCTACAGAGGGAATTTATAGTTGGGGGAGTGGAGAGAGGGTAGGGGGTGTGGGGAAGAATGACTGCACCTCTTCCAAAGTGCAGCCTTGGAGAAAAAGGGGTGGGGGTGGCTGGGGGAAAGTCTCTCTCTCTCTCCCTCTCCCTCTCGGGCTGGGTTTTGGTTGCCAGCGCTGGTTTATATTGAACAATGAGCTAATTCTGATGGCAGCTGGCTGCCCGCCAGCTCTCCCCCCCTCACCCCCCACCCCCCCACACACACATCCCCTCCTTTTTACACACACACACACACACGCGCAGCTCCCCCCCCCCCCCCCCCCCTTTCCCTGCCCGCCTCCCCCCGCCCTCTGCTGCAGCGCCAGACTGCTTAGTCTGCAATAATCCGCAGCCCCGCGTCCCCCCTTCGCCGTCTGGCAGCCGGGGCCAGCGACCGCCCCGACGACGGCCACGGCCGCCGCCGCCGCCGCGGGCAGCGCAGAGGGGGCCCCGCCGCCGCCGCCGCCGCCCCCCCGAGGCGGCGGCGCTGAGGGGAGCGGCGGCCGTTGGTGAGCGGCCGTTAGTGCCCCCCCCTCATGCTCCAACCGTTCCCTCCCTCCCTCCCTTCAGCGCGGCGCCCTGCCAACGGCTCGGGGCGGGAGGTTGGGGGGGGTGTGGGGGGGGAGCAGGCACATACTGTAATAATAACCCTGCAGCAGCCAAAGGGCATCTGAGGAGAAGGGGAGGGAGACGGAGGCGGCCGCCCGCTCGCTGCTGTGCCTGTCTGAGAGGAAAGAAAATGGTGGGCGGGGAGGAGGGGGCGCCGGGGCAGGCGGCGGCCGGCAGCAGGTGCGGGCCGACACGGCGGCGGGGCTCAGCCGAGCGCCCCCCTTCTCCTCCTCCTCCTCCTTCTCCTTCAGCCCCGGTCCCTTCCAGTGCCAGGGCTGCGGCTCTGCCCCGTCAGGAGCCGCAGGTGCGCGTCCCGAAGGGCAGGAGCGTTACCTGAAGGCGCAAGGCGGCCAGCAGGCACCTCACGGGGCTGAGGGGCTGCGCGGGGTCTGCGGGGGGTTGCGGGAGCTTTGCGCCTTACCCTAAGCGGCCCCCGCTGTGGTTGTAAGGGGCAGGGAATGAGAAACAAACAGCCCCGGGGAGCACGGCACGGTGGCACGACAGGCTGCACAGAGACCCCCACTGCGAAGGCATCAGGAGCGGCGTAGATGCAAGCACGGTGATGTGCTGCTGCATAGTGTCACTCCATAAAATGCTACACAGGGAGGCCTGATGAGATAAATAAACAGAGAAACAAGTGCTAAGAACCGGATTCTGTTACCCTGCAGCTTCTGTAGTTGCCTTCCTCAAGGTTAAAATGTCTGAGGCAAAGTAGGTTGAAATGGTTTGAAATTATACATGCTGCAGGCTAACAGAAAATTCAGCTTTCTCTTTTTGGCCTTAGGTTTTGAGCAACTAACCTTGTTTTTCGAATCCACTTTATTAACTCCCCAGGAAACCATATTTTTCAGTGGTCCACAAAGGATTTCCATTTGTTGAGTGGAATCAGCTTGATAGCATGTCCCTGCACCTCCCTGATCAGCTAATGCCTCCCTGGGAATACCTGTAAGCCTACCAGAAGATCAGGCGACTAAAAGGGAGAAATGTGAGACTCAAGCAGCCTCTGGTATTCAAACCTATGGTAAGCTGTGATAGTAATTCTAACCAGAGCATCAGGATCAGACCGTTAGCCACTTAGGGCGCATTGTTACATCATGTAATTATTCAATTTCCTGGAACAAATTTCCTCAAAGAAATCAGAGAGTGTCTTTCATCCCCTCTTCTTTCTGCTGGACGTCACACAACCTGCTGGCACCACTCCGTTGGCACACACAACTGGACTTCACTCACAGCCACTCCTGAGACCTTTTCACCAGCCTGTTCTTGCTCCCTTCACTACCTCTGCTCAGAGGCGGGTATCTGTGATGTCTCTTCCTTACAAGGAGGGCCAGGTCCGCGTTCTTCTCTTCTGTTTGGACGCATGCCACACTCAGACATCTCTGCTGTTGTCAGTTCTGAGTATGGACTGTGCCCGCTCCCTCCAGTTGGAGGCTGAGCAGGTCTCTGTGCCCACGCACTCCCTCTGAAGCCTGGCTGAATTCTTGCTTTTAATAACAACCAGCTTGATACCAGGTAACTGAGCTCAGCCACCTTCTTCCTGACAGCGTGGGGCCACTGCTGAACCCCATCTGGCCTTCTTCACTTGCACCTCTTTTACCATTCGTACGTTCTTGGGACATGTTGCCAGCTGCCAACAGCCTTGCCAACAGCTCTGCAAGCACTGCCTTGCACACAACCCACAGCATTTGCCTCTTTGATTTGTCCCAGCTCGCAGCCCTGTGTTTCCCAGCAAGATGTGTGTAGTAGGGTGTTTGTGGCAGCACCAAACATTGACTCCCCCAGCCCAGAGTGGCAGCTGTGGCACTCTCAGAAGTTTAGCCCACGGGTCCCAGTCTCCCAAGCAGCTTTGGTTATTCTCTCTCCTCTTTCTTGCCCCCTGTCTTTGCTGCAGGATAATAACATACCCAGCAGAAAGCTAGAGAGAGCAAATTTCAGACACAGCCAGTCAGTTGGTTTTTATTACACAAGTGAAACGTGGAAATTCTTAGTTAATAGTGGTTGTGTCGGTTCTCCTGTCTGCTTTCTCTACAGGTTACTATCCATCAGCTAATAGACCTCTTCTCACATTAAGGTCTAAACAATTAAAGTCTTGAGATGGTGAAGGAGAATTCTTCTAAATTTTTGCTGAAAAGCAGACATGTAGGCAGCCGAGTTCCTTATATGTCCCCTCACCTGCATCACACTTGAGAACCTGCTCCACATCCAAAAGCCATTTACTGGAACCACAACCAATGATTGTAGATCTCCACCTTGGACGTGAGCCCTAAAACCTTCATTCTCTTCCCAGTGGCTTAGTTTGTTACCCCATGTAAGCAACCTGGTTTGCTGTGCTGTGTATACTAGCCCATACCTGGAAAGTCTTACACCTGTTTGTTGCCTGTTACAAGCTCAGTTGCTAAGATCTCGTCAAAGTCTGCACTGTTTAGTTTGGCTGTAATGTCTTGAATTTTCTTGTTCTTAGCCACATTCCACTTGAAGCACTGAATGGAAACTCAGAAGTGAAGGCTTAACTGGCAACAGGAATAAGAAGACAAAAACCTGTAAGCGTGGGAGAAGAGAAGGAGGCAGCAGAAGGATGCAGAAAGACTCAGTCTGGCCCTGCATGGAACAGGAGAGGTTCAGCCACTCCTGGTTCTGGAAATTTAATTGCAGATCCAGGGTTTGCAAAACAAAAGTCTAATTTGGAGTATGTTGGCCCCAAGTTACAAGGTGGAAACCTGGAAACCGTAAGAGTCAATTCAAGCAAACTGGTAAGACTGAGCTGAAAATAACTTTGAAAAACAATTGACAGAAATTACTGGTTGAAATACATGAAATTTTTGATCATTTGTTTGTTTTAACTTTTTAATTCTTGGTGTTCTTTCCCTATTCCTGTTATTCTTTACTCATTTGTTTAAAAGGTAAAGAACATTAACATGCTGAGAAACACCAACAGGCAAAATGCTAGGTTACAACGAAGTGCAAATCGTTTTGCACCTGCAGATGGGACCTTCAGCCTGACTGTGACTCCAGTGCCAGACTGCTTTCTTTTACTCTCAAATCACCCATGCAGTACTTCATTCCTGCAAATGTGTAATGCAGGTAAATTATTCCAGTCTCCAGGAAGACTAGATTAGACCTCAAGCCTAATTTTTATACTCTGTGGTTACTTAAACCAGTCTGATTTTTTTTCTGTGGTCAATTTTATGTAGGAAGAAAAAGGTTGTTCTTTCTGCTACCTCTTAGCAGTGACCATTTCCTTTTCTTTTTCCCTTTATTTCTCTCTTTGGCCTGAGCTATAACCCCAAAATTGATAAAACCCAGACTTACAAAGCATTATGATTATAAAAATAGCCTAAAATGGACTTGCAAAGCAGGGGGAGCAGAACAGGCTCTTGTGGCTGAGGGGAAGGTAAAAGCAGCAGAAGTTATGCATATAAAAAAGATACACTGTTATATCAGAATATAAGTCAGCAGCTGGGAAACTCCATAGGTTGCAGTGAATAGGCACAAAACAGTCACCAGAGGATTACTCAGAAGCCGTCCTTCCCAGTTCTGACAGTGAGCAGAGAAGCTGTATCCTACACTAGAGGCCACAATTCCCACTCTTATTCTCACCTGCATCCTTCAGCCATTGATTACAGTATTGTGCACGATGCAGAAAAGTAGCAGGATCCTGATCTGGAAATGGGTCAGATTCAAGCATGACACAGGTATTGTAGAGAGCTGCTATCTCACGTAACAAATGGGCTGCAGACTGCATTGAACACCTGAAATAAAAAGGTGGGAGGACAGCAGATGAGATGCTGGTAGAAGCAGGCAGTTTAGCAACTGAAGCCAGGTCATGCATTCAACTCATTATAGAACCATCAATAAAAATGAATTCAGTTATAATTTTTTCAGCTTTTGTGAATATGCAGCTTCTCTGAATTATATCACCCCTGCAGCACATTCACAGATATATTCCAAAAAGACTACATAGCACCACAAAGAATATCCACATGTAAGCATAAAGATAGAGCTTAAAGTATCCACATGTAAGCATGAAGATAAATAAAATGACAGCTTTCCTTTCTTGCAGATTCTTCTGCTACTTGTGCTATTTCTACTCTTAAGCTCTATTCATCAATAAATTAATTCAAGGAAGGAAGAGGGTAATTGCTTTGCTGCAGCTAAAAACTTCAGCAGATTTTTCATATATTTCCATGTATTTCCTTATAGCCATAAGTGGGACAAAATAGATCATAAACTAGTTATCAGAAATTGTGTGGTGTTCTCCTGGCAACTAAATTAAAGTTAGAGGGGAAGGTTATCCATTAAGCGACTTTTCAAGAAGACTTAAAATGTAGGATCTATTTCCAGTTTAGTCTTCTGGGGGCTGGATTCAGAGGGTTTCTTTTCCTGTTTATCTCCAAATCTATGAGAATTTTGTTTTCATTTATTTCTATTACCAAACAAAATGAGCTGTGCATAAATAACTGATGGAACTGAGCTATCTGGAAGATTTCCAATTAAGATTAGTTTGTCATTACATAAACCAAACGTTAAGGATTTTTTTTTTACTGGTACTCCACCAGAGGACGACTTGGATGGAAGAATTGCACATCAGCTCAAGAAAAAAAAATCTGCTATATGAACACATTCTCTTATAACAAACAAAAGCTCCTCACACTTCCAGAAGGAATCATTCATTCACCCATTGCAGTTCCTCTGCAATAATGACTGACACTGAATGCTTGACACAAAGATGTACAATATGCAGGATATTTCAAAAATATACCAATGGAAGGAATGCCATAAGCCTTGATCATGGCAAAGCCTGTACACTTAGATTAGCCCCCTTGATTTGAGTGAAGCTGCCTACAAGTGTACAGTTAACTACACAGCTGAGTTTAAACATTATCAAAGTTAAAATTAAAGTCTAGATCCACTAAAATTCATGAGATGTTTTTGCTATGGGCTTGGATGTTGTTTATTTTGTTGTTGTTTTGTTTTGTTTTTCTGTACAGACTAGACAGAGATGATTTGTGAAAGTTGCAGAATAAAAAGCACTACAAAAGCAGTATGGTTTGATCATGACTTGTGGCAACAGAGAGAAAAAAAAAAGAAAGTAAAAATGTTGCAAATTTCAGCCCTCAGACAGAGGTGAATAGAGTTCCAAAAGGAATAATATATGGTAAAAGAGAACTGCTACAGAAGCAATGAAAAAGATGATAGTATTGAATGTTTTCATTTTAGTCAAGAGCAATTCATGATTTCCAGATTGGCAGTTCACAGAATCACACAATCACAGCAGGGGTGAGGCTGGCGGGGACCTCTGGGGGCACTGCTCCAACCCCTGCTCAGGCAGGGCCACCTAGAGCAGGGTGCCCAGTCCAGGGGGCTTTTGGAGATCCCCAAGGAAGGTGACCCCACAGCTTCCATGGGCAGGCTGTGCCCATGTTCCTACACCTGCACAGCAAAGCAGTGCTTCTACATACCTAAGTCATGGCTGCCTCATCTTAGCACGATCAGAAAACTATGCTTAAAAAACAGTGCTAGTTACCAGCTAGCTTAAGTTCTGGATGTACCACAGATTCAAAGAAAATGAAAAACCATCAAAAAAAACAACAGGAAAAAAAAACAATTTCAGAATTTTAGTAGATACTTTATGGGCAGAAAGAACACTAAAAGAATCAAATCCATTATTTACGGTAAATTATCCTCTCACCTGTGCTCAGAATTCAATTTATTGGCAAGCTTGAAGTGACAAAAAATTACCTGACTCCTATTTAGAGAAGCATCTAATTTTTGCTTCATAGAACAACCTGCAGTGGTGTCTAGATTCCTCTGCATACTGTCACAGAACATGGATTAAAAGTAAAAAGCAGCTGCAAGGTAAGAAAACTTCTCTCTCTTGGGTTTTATCTTTCATTTGCAGGTTGTGGCCAGGTAGCTCATACCATATACATGCTTTTTTAACGCAGTGCTGTATGACCTTGTCCATAGATTCTTGCCTACACATGTTCCTGCTATATAATAGAGTGTCAGATATGATGAACGTCAGGGTGTTTCTTTCATTTGAGAAGAGCACTATAAACCACTCAATTTCCCTCTGTGGTGCTCTGCTGAGAAATGTTTTATTATAAATGTTTAAAAGTGCATACAAATGTAGAAATAAATGGAGATTTTGGAATGAACAACAGAAATTATTAAAAGCATGGATAACCTCTACAACAATAATAATAATAATAAACAACACAAAAAAATGTATAGCATCCAGAGCACCCATATACATGTAGGCCTAAGGCCTCTAGCAGTGCAAGGAGCTTAAAAAAACAGCTACAGTGGTCTGTTTACCCAACAGTCTTCTGAGGATGCTCTTCTGCTCTTCTGAGGATGCATGATCCTAATTCAGGGGTGCTCCCCTGAAACAAATAGCTTCTCTGATCTGGTTAACTCCAGCAAGCCTCAGTCACATTTAACTTGTAGCAGGTGTCAAATGGACTCTTAAAAATTGTGACCAAATAGAAAAAAAAAAAAAGAAAAAAAAAAAAAGCTTTATTTTTAATCTACTACCTGACAAGCCCATTGAGTACCTCCTAATTCTTATGTTTGAGTAAAACTGAATTATTCCATAATCAGGATTTACAGTTCTCGTTAGCTGTAGAGGAAGTTAGGGTTTCTGTTGTAGCCAATCCCAAAATGCAGAAATGGATAATCTTGTGGATTAGTTTGTGAGTGATTCATGCTACCAAATAAAATAAAAATAAATAAAAAATCCTGTAGGTCTAATTGATCTTTTCAAAACATATGCATTTTACTTATGGAACACCTTGATTTATTTATCAGTGTCATTCGTACAAATATTTGTACCAATATTCTAAACACTGATAAGTCAAAAGGCATATTCATAGTTGGTAGATTAAGTTTTGAAGAAAATTTGTGTCAGCATATTAAGCAAGTATTGTGTGACTAAACATTTAGAATTTGGCTTGACTTTGACCTTTTGTTGTCTTGTAAAATCAGTCAGTGCTTCTGTTCTACTGCTGGATTGCCAAAATATTCAGAGCAATATCTGCAAGCCCAGAAAGTGGAATCATCTGAATTCAAAACAATCTTATATGTGGTCATTGTAAAGCACGTGGCTTTCTTTGTCACATGACAGAGGAAACATTTCCATTGAATATTACAGAGACAGCATTAACTGAAGTGCTGCAAGTTTGATATGATTTGTATTTCATTGCCAAATTTTCTTTCAAGTAAATTATGATCAATGACTAGAAAAAGACAGGTTCAGAAACTTGCAAAATAATCTACAGCTTGGGTTTGACTTAGAGCAAACCCAGGTGCTTAAAAACAGATGGAGCACATGTAACTCTAAGACTGACTGGAAAGCAATTGTTCTGCTGGCCAGGATGAAGAATTAGCATGTCCCTGGAGAAGGAGGTCAAGAGCAGGAAGAGGAGACAGCAGATAAAGTCTTAGACATGAGCAAACTTAAGAAGAAAAGTTAAAGTGCAGATCATGAGATTTGTTGTTGTTAAGTAGCCAACTAAATTAAATTCAAATACGAGAGCATTTGTGTACTTTGTACAAACCAACACGAGACATTTCCTTACTTATGTTGACTTTCTATGAATGTCATTTTGATATATGCACTTGTATTGTTGTTGTAGCTACGCTGTTTAAGAAACATGAGATGAAGACCAGCTCTGTAACTCTCACTACTATAAGCAGCATTCATTCACATTAGTGGCAGCAGAGAGGACAGACAATGCGTTTAATGCTGTTCCAAGTAACGGTTCAAGAGATGAGCCTTTCTATTCAGGTCAATTAAATAAACACAGTCTATTTCATTTGAATTCATGAGAATTCACTTAATTAAAAATGTAGACTACAGTTTTTCTGTTGTGGGCTATGCTTTCAATTATTCTCAGCGTTTAGTGAGAACTTCAAAGATTGGCTTAGTGAACACTTGAGGAGGATAAGCCCAGGTTAAGTCTAGCTATAAAGCTGAGTTTAAAAATAAAATTAATTCGACTGTTATGCCAGAACAGAGGATCAGTTGTTGCCAGTTTACAAATTCTTGAAAGCAGGATTGGAAGATAAGAGTTTGCTCCATATCACTTCTGTCAGTTCATTTTCAAATGTTTGGATTTTGACTTTTTTTTTTTTCCTCACTACAATGGAATTAAATTAAACCAATCAGATAAATGTCATTCTAGATGAAGTTCAAAAATATTGAGGACCACCACTGCCAATCATGCTGAGAGTTTCTATGATTTCTGTGATTACAACAACATCATTATCATTACATCAGAAAATAACTGAATACCTCTGAAATTTCTGCCACCAGATATGGAAAAGAAGGTCTGTAAAAGTTGTTGCAAAAGGGAACACAATTAGGGTCAGACACAAAAATACATATGTGTGTTTGAGGAATATATAAAAATCAACCAATATATCCAACAGTACCTAGGGAATTAGTGAAATTCCTACAGCTCAGGGGCCTTTAATTCTTTATTATAGACTACATTTCCTTTAGTGTGTTTCAGGCCTTGTATCAAGAAAACGTGAAGCTGTGGAAATGATGGGTATGGAATTAATGACATTCTTTGGCTTGATTCATGGGCTTAAAACCAAAAATTAATTTTTTCCTTTAACCATAATGAGTCATAGCTTCCTCACTACAGAAAGAGATGGTAAGAACTCAATTGCCCCACAATTCTCTCTCTCTTTTTCTTTTTTTTTTTCTTCTAACATTGCACTATGCTTTCTATGACAATCTGTATCACAGTTCAATTTTTTTTTCTCTTTCAAATGCCTGCAGCGTATATCTGGAACTTCACTTAAAGCCATATTGTTTTACTCTGCAGGAAAGAGTTCTGACTCTGTTCCCCAATAACACATCTCCCATTCATTCCCACTCACTTTTAGAGAAAGTAAGCTTCAGTCCATTATCCTCCATCAAATGGTTCTCTCTTTTTCCTGGTATTTTTCATAATAGTGACCAAAGAACCAGGCAGCAAAGGATTGAAGTTAAAAGTTAAAAGGTCTATTTTAAAATGGTGAACAGAGCTGCTTCCTTGAAGACTTGTGCATGTATATTTGCAGAACTCTGTCTCTGTTGCCACCGGTACATCTGGGATTCAGCAATCCCAGCATGCCATATAAAGAAATTATGCTTTTTTGACAAAAAAAAAATAAAAAAAAAATTCCTCAATTTACCAGATCAGGTCAGTTATACTGTATTCTACACTGATGAATGAAAACCTGATTCTGGCTCTGGAGAGATAATCACCCGCCTGGCATCTGCCAGATATCCATTGTAGAATATCATATGAGCTTATCTCATACATTTGCAGTTTCGCCAATACACCTGCTTTGCCACCTTCACCAGTGTTGGGTCAAATGGACTTTTGATCTCAGTCCAAAATTCTGTGATCACTCCTACATTCTTACATTATAGCATAAAAATACAATATTCTGCCTCCTTTAAAAATCTGGCTTATTTTTAACTGCATAATATTTTATCAAGGGTGATAATGGTTGCTTCTTAAAACTAGCATTTTCTCCTCTTGATCAGCTACAAGAGTGTTTAAGCTAGATCGTGGAGATGGGGGACTGGCAGCAGAAGAGCTTTGTGTACCTAGGAAGCTGCACGTTACAGTCAAGAGTGCTGTCACCTCAGCAGATGACTATAGTTACTTGCTACTAATAAGTTAATAATACATTTGGAGTGGCCTTTGGTGAAAGCTTTGTTGATTTGTGTTTGGCACTACTTAAAAAGAGCTTTGTTTATGATGTTCCTTCTGGAGTTATCTTTTTTAACTTCATCAGTGTACTCCAACATCATGTACAGCTGTTTTATAAGCAACTCTAACCTCTGATGAATGCACAAAGCTTATTATTTACCACTGCAGAAAACATTACACAAGGAAAGGAATTTTTATATTTAGAGAAAAAAAAAAAAAAAGGAAAAAAAAAAAAGGAAACCTTGATGAGAAAGTTTAGCATAGAAATAGAAGAACAACTTTAACAGTCTTAAAAATGTGGAATAACATTTGAAAGGCAGTAGGA